TAATAATTTATTTCTTATTTATTTTTATTGGCACATGTTTGCAGTACATAATGGTTACATATGTGTTGGGGAACTGGTACATGTGCAGAACACATTTAATTCTTGTTTTCGTCCCTTTCTCCTCCCCTCACTGCCCTGTCCTCTCTTAGTCCTCTTTTAACTGAAAAGTTATTGTTATTTTTAATTTACAGACAGGGATTTTTGTTACTAATTTTTGATAATTATATTTAGTTGTACTATAAGTGATATTGATTTCTAAATTGCAGGGAGGCTTTTTTTATGGCCATGTACGTAACTGATTGTTTCCCTTATTGAATATTAATTTTAAATCCATTCATTGTAATATTTGAATCTTATATGAGAGAGACTTAAAAATCTCCAACTGTAATTGCTGTTTCTGACTTTTTTCTTTTTATTTTTTATTTAATTTCATGCTATTTCATTTTTATCTAATTTTCCTTTAGTGTATAGCTTTCAGTTTGTAAATTTCTGCTTTTTTCATATTAAATTTGAGAATTGAAGAATTGAGAATTCAATTAAGAATTGAAACAATCTGTGAACATGGCTTAGATAGAACTATAGACCATTCTGTTAACATGATTTTATTGTTTCCTTTGGACTAGGAAAAGCAAGTTTGCAAAAGCTAGTTAAATTTGCTATTTGCTTCAGAAAATGCCAGGAACTGAATATATTAAAGACAAAATAATATTCTCACTCTGACAATCAGTCTGCTTATCAATAACAGTTTACTTACCAAGACTCTGAGTTGTTTCAAACAATCTTAAACTACTATATCATGAACTTTCCCCAGTCCCACTCAATTCCACACTCTGAAAAACCCACCTTAAAACTACTTGAGTCCAGACCCCAAAGCCTTTCAGTTATTCTACTTCTCACTTACCCTGAAGCACTGCTACTGGTAAGACTCCCTAGTGGTAGTCTCCATCCTTGCTGTAAGTTCTGCTAAATGCAATTTTTCCTTATTAAAAGTTTTTTTTTCTTGCTGGTATTTTGGTGTAATTCAACAATTTTGAAGTTGAGGAGAGACCCTATTTGTATCTCTCTGTCTTAGTTACTTTTCTCATTGCTGAGACAAAATACCTAACACCTAAGGTTAAAGGGTGAAAGGTTTATTTAGCTCACAGTTTGTAGAAGTTTCAGTCCATAATCGGCTTGCTCCAAAGCAGGGTAGCAGATGGCAGAGGGGCAACAGTTCATGGCGGACCGAAGGTTGCAGAGCAAAAAGAGAACAAACAAGCGACTTTAACAGGGACTTTCTGCTCCTTTTATCTTATCCAGACTACTTAGGGTGGGTAGCACTCACACCCTTAATTCTAGCACCTTTGAGCCTAGCATTGCACCATGAATCAATTCCAGCGTCACACACTATAGATCCAGCCACCTCTCAAAAAGCCCCACCTCATTGGCATGAGGCTTTGAGGGGACATCTAAACACAAGCCATAACACTCTTACTGCAAAAGCCCAAAACCCTCCATTCAGAAATAGTTCAAACCACTGATGCCCCTTGAGTATCCTTGCTTGAGGGATCTCTTTGACTACAGTGACAGAATATATTTCATATCAGATTCTAGTCCCAGTTTTTTAAATCAAACTACCATATGCTCAGTATATATTGTTCCTTATGATTTCCTTTCAGAAATTCTTTGGTTATTTGATGAGACTTGAAAACATGTATTCCTATGTAAATCTCCCATGTTATTAACAACATTGCTTTTTATTCCCGATCTCTTCATTATTTTCCTTTGGGAATCAACAACAGGAAGTTAATAAGAAAGAGGATAATCACAAACCTCTTATGTCAATTCATTGAGCCAGACCTGAGGGTTAGATGGTCAAAAGGTAAGGAGACTACTCAGAATGACATCAAATGAATGAACTTTGTCATAAATTTTTCACAAGTTTATCAAAGAGTCTGAATTCTTGCTTTGACTATATAATGATGATTTCAAAAGAGACTTTTTTTCTAGGAATTGCTGAGTATCAAACCTAGTTGCAAGACATCTTTAGTCCAAAGGTTTCCACCTTCGAAGAAAGTAGACTTACCAAGTTTGCTACTGGAGATTATGTAGCCATATGGTTGTGGAGCCTATTACATGAGGCGCAAAAAGACTCATCTGTTTGACTGCTGTCAGACTTTTATGTGTTTGTTTCAGACTTAACTCAAGTTCATATCTCCTCTAGGCCAGGTTCCTTCCTCCTACATATGTTTATAGTATAACAAATACATATGATCTTCTGTCTAAATAGCATAATTTTATCAATACTAATTGAGACTTTCAGTGGCCATTTTGGGCCTGTAATAAAAATAAATTGAAAAACAAACAAACAAACAAAAATTGTTTGACAGGTTCCCTGGAATAGAAAGGGAATAGAATTCTACATATTCAATGACCTGTATTTTATGATTGGCCTGAGAGAGCTTACAATAGAATAGATCCCAGAATTGCTTCTATATATCTTCCATGGAAGAGAAAAATGAAAAATGTGAAAGACATTTTATTTTAGGTTTGCTCAAATCACAACTTGAAACTAAAAGTTTTTATCATACTCTTCCCTTTTCCCAGTACGGCCCTCCATTGTTGCAACCCTCTGTCTGGTTACTTAGCTTCACTTTCCTTCTGGCCAAGAAGGAGCCCGGTAAGGTTAAATGCCTCTCAGAATTAACTAAAAAGTATAAACCCCATATGGTTCATAGTAAACCATGGTTGTAGTCTGAGCTAAAAATAATTTTCAAAGACTTTCCAAAACATAGGCAGAATAGGTATAAATTTACTGGACAATTTTCAAAGGCTCTAGGAACATGTAATCTGGGTTACCGGATCTCCATCAATTGATTTACATGTGGTTAAGAACTTCATATGTGGTAAAATGCACTGCCTAGTGCAAATATCTTAACTGTGACAGAGAAGACCCCAAATTCCATAGTAAAACCAGAGGGATTTGAAAAATCCACAAAATGTGACCCAAAACTTTTGGAAGTCATACACCAAACAAACAAAGGAATGGCTGCACTGGAGACAGTGGAGAGAGTCTCCTTACCTTTTGAAAACATTGAGATGTAGAGCGTGGAGCTTGGGGCAGATCCAGCTCCAGCTCTCGCACCACTTTTTTCTGAATGGCCTTAAGGCAGAGAAAGAGGAGATTTAAGTCACAAGAAAAAACTAGAATGGAAAATGGTCCTCCAAATCCTCACTGAAGGAAGGTGGAAATCAGTGAAACTGCACTGAACATCAATTCCTTAGTTTCCTATTTACCTTTAAACTCTCAAAGGGAATCTCTAAATAGTACAAGTTGACTATATACATTTTTGTTTGCTACTGGCATTACAGAATCAACCAAAAGACCTGCCACTGTCACAAAACGTCTTCCTCAGAGTTAATCTTTTCATGTGGCAACTGCTTCTGATAATTCACAGACCCTCCTCTTTTTTCATCCTGAACCTGCCATCTTCAGACCTTTTCTGGTAATTTTTTGGTGATACTGTACCTGGGTTTTAATATGAGTTATAAAAATTATATGAGGATGATCTGTGTCCTGTTGAATGACAGCAGAGATCCTCAGTTTAAACTTTGAGAACATTTTACATGAAATTACCTGTCAGGAGGAGGACAAATTGATCACTGCATAGGTAGCAACACTAGTGGGGAAATTTCACTGAGGTTGCCAAGAATATCTTTGGAAGCATGCTTCACTTGCATCAGCATATTTCTTAAAAAACTGTCCAAGTGGGACATGAGCCCTTACTTTGGATTTTGAATATCTAATCAATGTTTGTGAATTCCCAAGGTACAAGGAGACTTTTTCATGCCAACAGTAAAAAAATAAAAAATTAAAATATTTACTTAATTTTGTGCTTTCAATCTGGAGAATTTCAACCTATCTCTCCAGTACTTACTGTTTAACTCAAAAATTTTGTTGTCCCTATTAGCCTCAATCCTCCAGAAATGTAGAGAAAGATAATCACATTTTAACTCTAATATCTTGCCACAAGGACACGTGACAGCTGTCCCTTTGAATTTGAATATCTTTTTTCCAATTTGAGATCAGTTTTAGTCTGTTTGCTATGGCTGCAATTGGACTGGGTGATTTACAAAGAAAAAAGGCTGATGTGGTTCATGGTTCCAGAGGCTGGAAAGTCCAAGATTATAGTGCTGCTAGACTCTGATGAGGGCCTTCTTTGTTCATGATTACTTGGAGGAGGGCATCCATCACATTAGCAGACAGAGCCAGTGTGCTAACCCAGTGCCTTTCTTCCTCTTCTTAGAACACTACAACTCTTGTTATGTGGATCCCACCCTCACGACCTCCTCTAATCCCAATTACTTCCCAAAGCTTCACCTCCAAATACTATTAACATAGAATGTGAAGACTAAGTTTCCAACATATGGATTTGGGAGGGACACATTAAACCACATCAGGCTCTTTCTTCTTTTGGGTAAACATGGCAAAGCACTATAAGAGCTTCATGCAACACACAAAGCCTTATCACCAACAGGAATGAGTTCCATTTCCTTCATATTCTCCCAACCAGCCTCTACGTGACCTAAAAAACAAAAGCTTTGTCATCTGGAAAAGGCAGCATAGAAAAACTCCTTAGGAACAGCACTGGGAAGAAACAGAAGGAAATTTTGACTAGAATAACAGTATAACACAAAAGTAGCAATACCTAGACTCATGTTTCCCAACAAAAAAAGACACAAGGTTTGACCCAACAGGATTGAAATACTATGAAGATATTTAAAATTAGGACTTCTCAAGAATTGCTCGGCAGCAGGTGGCCTTTGGCTGAAGTCAGCTTCCATCATAAAGATGGCATCTGCAAGACGTGGAGAGTATGGAGAGTTTCCACCAAACATCTACCAAAGTAGATCTAAATGACTGGGCCACAGAACCCACCCTTGAATGCATGTGCTGTCTCCCTCTCCCCTCTCTTCCTTCACCTCCCCTCCTCTCCTTCTTCCTTTCTTCTTTTCATCCTCTATTTTCTTTCATCATTGTAGTCCCAAGGTTCTGGATAGTTAGCCAATGATTGTTATTTCTTACCAGTCAAAACTTAAGGTCACTCATTTTAGTATTGCTTTCTGTATCTTTAGTCATTCCATGGTATGACTCTAATACTTGGAGAACTGTATACACAGTTTGGCCAAAACAAACAATCAAGTTCTATGTTTTGCACACATTTTGCTATGAGGGCCTGTAACCTAGGGCCAATCATTTGTTAGAAAATATTTACTTTCACACATAATTGGAATCAATCACTAATTGTCTTCTTATGTGAAAGAGGGCACAACAGGACAGATAACCAAAATCAAAACTCAAAAGAAAGGTTTCTGCCTCCACTGAAGCCACGCTCAAGGACCCTTTCTCAGAGATAACATCTGTAAACAAACTTTCCTGGAGAAAAGATTCAGAAAGGGAAAATCAACAGATGGTTTGTATTTAAGATCTGTCTCCCATTTACAAACCTCACAAAGAAGACTTACCATATAGGTAACTTTGATCACTTATCAGATCAACCCTAGGTGACCTTTAGTGAACCCCTTTTCCACATAGGATTTATTTAGGTGAATCCAAAATTACTTAGTGTGGACAAAAAACTTATAATAATACTCAGTTAATAATCTCTCAATAAATTTTGAATAGAGGATTAATAATTAATACAATGGTGTTAATATCATCTCTGACATATTAACCTTTATTTGTTCCTTATATTTATTATATTTTGGTTTTACCCTTTAATTTAAATGATTGTTCAAATGAATGTAAAATATTAACATCAACCTTCTTTTCTTAAGCACTTTGAAAAACTCTATTGAATTTCTCCTTTGGATATTACTAGAAAGAAATCTGAGCATGATAACAGTTTATAACTATAGAGTGCCTATTCTGTGTGACTATATATATATATATATATATAATTATTATTATTTTTTTGTTAGCAGGGATGGAACTCAGGACCTTGTGCTTGCAAGGCAGGAAGCAGCACCACTGAGCTAAATCCACGGCCCTGTCTGACTATAATTTTATGAGGTTTACATATTCTACAGTATTTATTAGTATTAACATACTATGAAGTAGAAATTATGTTCTATTCTACATATATGAGGAAATTGAGCTATAGAGAAGTTAAATAACTTGTTTAATGTTCTAGAGCTCATTTTAACAGAACCTGCTTAAGCACTTCCCTGTACTCTCTCTTCTTTTTTATTTTTTTTCCTGTATTCTCTCTTTAAGAATGTTAATATGCTGGAATTTTTTTGAGTTTTAGTTTTGGTTTTTGGCTTTGTTACTTGATCTGTAATTTCTTGTTAGAAAGTTTTTCTCTCTTTTGTGTGTTTTTGATATTACTGAAATTTCTTGCTATAAATCCATCATGATTTATTTGTAAGCTCTGTAGCATAGTCTAGGTCCTTTCAACCTGAGTTCATGCCTGGGCATATGTGCATGCACGTGCAGGGGTGTGCAAGCACATGCTCGCCTGTGTGTGTAATTTCATGGGTCAGATGTCTTCAAATAATCTATATAAACTATTTTCATATTTTATTTTCCTAGGATTTCTTGTGTACAGATTGACATTTTACCTTTATCTCCATGTGTTGGCTGTTCAAGTATTCTTTTCATGTATTCATTCTTACCTAATACATTCCAGAATTTGTCATCTGATTTAATCTTACTTCCCATTGTTTATTTCAATGCTTCTTCTCTTTTTCCTATGTATGTATACATATACAAATTTCCTGCCATATACATTGAAATGGTTATTCTAAGGATTACTAGAATTCTCTACGTCATCATAGTAATTTTACACCCAGGCCTCACACTCGGGAAAGAATATTTGAGGAAGCAGTTACTAAGTACAATGTTATAGTAAAAAACATCGTCAACTTTTTAAAAGTATATGATTTACAAACGTGGGGGGTACGATCATTACCACTGATTGGTAATGAAACAGATCAAATGTTGATACATTCACCTTTAATTAAATGTCATATATGCACTAAAATTAATTTTCAAAGAATATGGAATTTCAAGAGCAGATATGCAGGATAAAATGAGAAATAAAATAGGTGCATACTCATACATACATAAATTTATCCTAATTGTTAATTATATAAGCAAAGAAAAAAATGACTAAGAAAGTACAAGTCTTTAGCAGTTTGTTTCTTGGACGTAGAGGGAAAATTGACTTAGTTTTGTATTAATCTTTGATAATCTGTGCCACAATTTTTTACACTTGGTACATGTTGTCATAGTTATTAAAATTTTTCTGAGATAAATATATGTAAGACTGCTAACAGGCAAGAACACTAATAAAATATAAACCTTTATATAAAGTACTGCATGAGCAATGGCATACTAAAACTATATTAATTTTGCAGAATGCAACCAAGATTGGAAGAAGTTGAGAAGGACATAATCATGGAGGACACAAAGGCTAGGCTTTGAAGGACTAGTAGGAAATTGGGAAAGCAGCAGGATGGGAAGAGAGCATTCTACATATTCTGGGGAAAGATGTTGGAATGAAGGCAGCAGAGGGACAAGGACAAAAATACGGTGAGTTTGGGTAGAAGTGCAGTGTTGGAAATAGAAGGAATGTAAGATGATATTGCAGAATTCAGGGGTACAAGAAGCCAAATTACAAGTAGTTGAGACTGAAAAGGACAGTTGAGATTGAGCATAACTTTGGTTAAAACCCTTTTTGTAATGACCACACATTGATATGTTTTCGACAAAAAGTGACATACTAGGGACTATTCTTGGAAAATGAATTTTTATTGTACCATCAACCAGAATACAAGGGTGTTAGAAGATAGACAAAATGGAGTTAAGGTGGGAAACGGGATAAATTTTTTGCCTTGCAACTTAGAAACAGATGACAAGAAAATAAATAAAGTTGATTAGGTAAATTGGAACTTAAAAATGATGTGCTGGTGACTATAACAGTAAATGAAGTTGCTTTTATTTATTGAAGATCTACTATATGAAAGGGAGAAGTGTGTAAAATAGAATTTTTCCAAGTATTAACTTAGCCTATCTGAACAGTCTGATGTGGGCTCATCTATGGATGAGAAAACAAAGTGAAAAAATAAGAATTTGTCAAAGTTCATACATTTCTTCAAAATCATACATCTATTTCCAAAATGCATCATATTTTTCTCCTCACCTCATTATATAGAAGGCTGTAAAATTAGGGGAACTGGAATAAAATAGGGAAGTAGGGAAAATAAATTAAATTTTGGATCTGTTGAACTTGGAGTAGAGCCAGGATACACACAGGAATACAACACTACTTTCTGTTTTGGTCTCAGTTACTTTTTTTTAATTGTTGTGCTTTGGTTTGGATTTTGCTTTTTTCCAGAACTCAATCAAAAATTTAATTACTTCCATAAAAATGACAGAAATTCCTTCTTTGTTTCATTCCCTCCTATCTTCCTCATCTTTTTTCTTTCTTATTCTCCACTTTCTTCAATTTCTTTATCTTTCCTTGTATAACTCATTTTATCTCTGTATGTAAACAATCAATTGGATAGACATCTATCTATTCACCTATTATCTACTTTTCTCACATTATCTCAAGAGAATTCATGGGAGTTTACTGTATATAATATAAAAAATAAAATCGATTAATATAAAGAGAATTATCTGGAAAATAAGATGAAGGATGATAAGGCATAAAAAGTATGTGACATAACTATTAAAAACACTTTAATGAATTACTTTACCAATGATTATTATTTATAGTTAATCAAAAGGTTATCTGTAAACACCTTTGTGAAATATTGAATTTCAAATTAGAAAATTAAATGAAATACAAGTAAAAAGCTCTCACACAATAACAATTACTTTTGGCATATTTTCATTGAAACAAAAAAAAAATTATACCATTAAAATTTTCTCCAGGATATTTTGAGATGGTGAATCACTATCAAAATAAAATAAACAACATTTGTATTGATTAAAAGTATTTTATACATCTTAACGTAGCTAATAATTTTTATGTCAAATGAATAAAGCTTTGTAGTTTTCAGTGGGGAAAAGCCCTTAATTCCCAATGGACTGTTTATAATATAATATGTTGATCTGTTTATGTATAGGCTGTCATTTTGTTTTCTTATCACAACTTTATTATAACATTATATTCTAGAATATCATGAAATTGACAGGCTAAACTTGTTTCCAGTGGATGTGATTCTTTAGAATTTCCAGGAAATTTCTGGAAAAATAAAACAAGAAGGAATTGCTATTTCTCTAAGGCTCTGTTAATCCATGAGTATATATTATAATTTTCCTACTTACCTTATAGAGAACATAAAACATAAGAGGTTTAATTGGTTAAGGAAGACAGCAACATTTTAGAGTGACTTAGTAAACAGGTACACAGGAAGAGGGTAAAACATATATTTGTCCATGACTCATGCTTCTCACAAAAATTCTCTTTCTTGAAATTCTGTCTGAATCTTAAAATTTATTTTCAAAATAATTTTTCCAAACTGAATCAGTAGCAGGGAATTGGTTCTTTCTTATTAGATTTGCATGAATACTAAAGTTGCTCTCCTAGGTCACTAAGCTGAATTATTCATTCTCTCCATTCTTTTGGGGGGGATTTTTGGGAGGGCTATTATTTTAAAATTAAGCAAATGATTAAAATGCCAAGAAAAATATTTGTTTTCCTGTAAAATATATATATATTTTTAAATTTTAGTATTATTCTGAAAATTTTAGTGTTTCTGAAAAATTATACACTTCAATAACTTCATTGTCATATTTGTGTTTTACATATTGTATTATATATTATATTATATATTATTCTACATTTAAACTCAGATATTAAAAAGACTGAGATTAAATATAATCATAAGTTCATGACAAAGTACATTTAATCATCTTTTTAAAACAGGTTATTTTTGAGGCATTATAGAAAACAAGGTTTGTGTAGGAATTTCATTATAATAAAATGGCACACATATAAATACATACTTGTTTTAAATTTAGAATGATTTCATCCATAGTTATTATGTTTTAGGATGCAGATAAGCTGCAAAATAAATAACAGGAAATGCCTCTTTTCTGAAAGAAGACCATAAAACACTATAGATAACATCATTTGCTATTTGTGTTGAACAGGTCATTTAGAGTTGACAGAATACATGAATAATTACAGTTTATCTTATATTTTTTCTACAGAATCTATTGTTTAGTAAAAAAATAACATTTATTTTCAAAGAAATTCCCACATTATTTAAAAATAATGGTTATATCTAAAAAGACACTAATAATTCTGAATATCTATAAACTAGTTTGAACAAAAGAGAAGCTGGTAAGGTTTATCTACAGTTATTGATTGGCTTAAGATATTCTATGAATTTCACAATTTTTATTCAATTTTTAAGCATGGTACATCTCACTTTCTTTGCCCTATGTAATCTGAGCTCCTAAATTCATTTAGATTTAATACAAGTAAGCACTGAGTAAAAAATAAGAAAAATGCAGATGTCACATGCACAAATTCTAGGAAAGCCCAAGTTTAAGTCATTCTGGAATTAAAATACTTAAATATTTTGCTTCAAAAGCCACCCTGGGAAGCTTTAATAACACAGTTCTGAAAAAGAATTGTTTCTTTTTGTTTGTTTTTTATTTTTGAGACAGGGTCTCGCTATGTAATTCACCCTCGCCTTGAACTCACTTTGAAGCCCAGGCTGGCCTCAAATTCACAGCAATCCTCCTGCCTCAGCTTCCCAAATACTGGGATTATATGTGCCACCATGTAGGGAAAGAATTATTTCTTACATTTTTCTAAACTGATCATGCAAGAATCAATAAATTTCACCTTGAAGTATCTTCTTTAGAAGAATATTGATTCTCATTCTTGTAAAGATGTTAGTTTGCCAACCTTTAAACACCTTGACAGATTGCATTCAATATTTTATTTATTACAGTCTGTTGAATTTAACATTTTTTAGTCTTTCTGTGTCTTTATTAGGCCTTTACTATTTTATTTTTGGCTTATATCACTTAAACTTTTAACAATTAAATTCAAGACTGGCTCTTTCTATTTTTAAGCCAATCAAAGCAATCTCTATTTTTAGTTATTTGCACCTGTGGCATTGTTTAATCTTTTATTATCTTTTGGGACTTATAATTGTCTGTAGGGTTTTGGTTCTCAAACTGTGATCCCAGACTAGGAGCAAGACTGGCCCCTGACAATGTGTTAGAAATACATATTTTCAAGTCTCTCTCTACATCTACTAAATTAGAAGCTCCAAGACAAGAAATTCTGATACACACTAAAGTTTGAGAACTATTACTTTAAAAGTTCCAAAACTCAATCCCAGACCAATTGCCTCAGGGTCTCTGGGATTGGGTGTTTTGTTTTGCTTTGTTTTGTTTGTTCTTGGCCATTGAATCCAGGGCCTTCACACAGAACTACATCCCTAGCCCTTTTTATAATAGGCTCAAACTTGGCTTCTTTCACTTATCAAAATGTCTTCAAGCTTTATCCATGTTGTAGTTGTATTAGTTAGCTTTCTTTTCGTGAGGACATGATATTTGACACTCCAGATTAATCAGGAGAGGTTTAATCTGGCTCAAAGCTTCAGAGGATTGTCTGGCTGGCTCACAGCAGAAGGTCATGACAGAACAAAGCTGCTTAGTTCATGGGAATCAGGAAGCAGAGCTGAGGAAAAGTGCGAGAGAGAAAGGGGCCAAGATCACACATCCATGACCCACCCAGGCCCACTCAGTAGTGTGTTTCACTAATCACCTTGATAGATCCCAAGCCAGCCAAATTGACGCAATTGAGCTTAACCACCATAATAGAATTTATCAGAATTCCCTTTATTTTAAGGCTAATAATGTTCAAGATTGATATAGGGACCTAGCGCACCCTGTAGTTTTTTCTTTTTTTGTCTGCAGGATCACTGGCTTTGATACTAAGGTAATTCTGGTCTCATAGAATGAATTAGAAAATGTTCTCTCATCTTTAAATTTTTGGAAAAGTTTTAACAAATATTAATTTCTTTTTCATTTATTACTTCCAGGAAATAATCTGTTGTCAGACTAGTTACTGAGATTGCGATGCTGAAAAATTCGAATTTGAAAGTTGATTTTTAGTGGACGTATATTCATAATGTAATATGGGAATTTGGACAGTAAGATAATTACTTGTGGCACCACAGCAAAGATAGAGAAGGTCATTGATTAAAAAGAACATGCTTGAATGTGTCAATATATACATATAGGGTATAGATTGATACTGACACTCCACTACAGATTTATTTTAATAGTAATTTCCCCTTGAAAATAAAATATCCTAAGGCATATTCTTTTAAAACTGTATTTGCTTTATCTGATATACCTATACATTCTGTAATTATTATTAGAGTCAGTTTAGTTAACACAACCATTACCATTCATGCTGTACATTAGATTCTCAGAACACGTTCATCATCCAACTCTGATCTCCATTTCCTTTCTCACATGTCATTTAAGACAAGGGCCCAGTTTCATTCTTTTGCATGTGGATGTCTTGTTTTTTCAAAACCCATTTATTGAAGATATTTCTTTTTATTGCATATTCAAAGATTCACTGACCATATAAGCATGGATTTATTTCTGGGTGTTTTATTCTGTTCCTTTGTTTTTTGTGACTGTTTGTAAGCCCAATAGAAACTCTATTACATGTTTTTAAAATTTTAATTCAGCTTGAAGTGAAGAAACAATATCACATAGTATTTTTTTTAAAGAACCACAACAGGACATTTTCTTTATGCTTGTTACTAGAACAAAACATAATTTACCAAATTAATTATACACACACACACACATATCTTATTGTTACTGTGATTATTTCATCAAAATGTGTTTCCCTCTTTTTTGACTCCCATGAAGCTCATTGCCAAACATTTTGCCTGGCTCTAGAAACAGTAAAATAAGTTGTGTATCACTAACCTAGATTTTTCTTAGCTTTATACTGTTTCATAACTATGGTTTCCTCTGTGGCCTCTTTACCATCTTCTACTAGCTTTTTTGTTTTGTTTTGTTTTGTTTTGTTTTTGTTTTTTGTACTGGGGATTGAACTCAGGACCTTTTGATTGCAAGGTAGCCGGCGGCACCACTGAGCTAAATCCCCAGCCCTTCTACTAGTTTTTAAACTTATGCTCTCTTTCATTATATGTTGTCAGCATGTTTTTTCTGCACTTGTCTGTAAAGATGAATTATGTCTTCAAAAAGAAACAGGTGACTGCTCTAAAGAAAATATTAATGATATTGTTTTTAATATGGGAACTGATATGAAAAGAAAAAGCAAACTTCTGTGATTAAAAAGGAAGCACTGTTTTATTTTTTGTGAACATAAACCAGACTAGTGTGACAGTTGTTTGAAAAGAGCAGCTTAAAGTCAGTTCATATGCTACATCAATGATATATCTACTCTTTACATCAGAGTATACTAGGGGTTGCATATTTTGTAATGTATATAATATGAAATTTTAGCTTTTTATTTTTTATCTCAAATAGAGTATAGAATATGGAATAATATAGAATATAGTATCACCTGTATAATGATCTGTTACCCAGAGTGACATCCTCTTTCTAGGTGTTAAAGAATCTACACTGGAATTTGTTTGAGAAGATAGACGTAGAATTAGGGTTAGCAGAACAGTGTCAGTTATTGTTTCCTTACCATTGCAAAATTTCATACCAGTCCAAATCCAGAGTCTGAAAGGAAATGAGACTGAAGACTATTCCTAATTCTCTTCTAGCCATCCCATATATAACTTAAATAGCTTTACTTTTGTTACTATATTTTAAGGCTTCATATCCATGCCGTAAATATACATAGCTTTGGCTTTTGCATGTACTTATGTTCAGTAGGAAGAAAGGGGAAAGAGTGATTATCTAAAATCATCTAAACTTCTTGTCAGCCTTGTCCACAGAAAATATAACCTAGAAATGCGGGCCACAAAGGTAATTTTAAATTTTATCATAACCATCTTTAAAAAAAAGATAACAAGAAACTGGTGAAATTTTATTTTTTCAAATATGCCTGATGCATTTTCATTTTAACCTGAAACCAATATAAAGTTACCAATTTTATATATATATATTTAATATATATTTATAATATTATATATATGGTCTTTTCTAATGTATTACTATCTGGTGTGTATTTCAGCTGCAGCACATCTCAATTCAGAGTACATATGTTTCTAGTACTTTAGAGCCACGAGAAGCTAGTCCCTAATATAATGGACAGCATAGTTCCAGACCATTATTAATCTATCCCAGGAGTGCAACCCACACTATCTTTTTCTCACCAATGATTCAATTTCTTAATGAGGTCCAAGTTAATCAATAACTAACTGTACAGGACCAATTCAGTGTTTTATCTTTTACTTGGAATTTGCTACATGATTTCTACTTTGATGTACAACAGCAATTCATATCATGATTTTTAGTTCCTTGATCTCTTTAGATCAAATGAATTTCATCTCTTGGGCTTCGGTCATTCTTTCT